ATCTTTTCTAGCCCCCTCCCCATATGGGGTGAACAGAATAGATCCTAAATAGGGCTACTCAGTCATGGATGCAGCTGCCGGACCATTCTACCACTTCAGTCCTCAAAACAGAATGACTGATACACACATCCACCACTTACATGATGGTCTTTGACTAAAAGCTTCTGGATTTCACAGTTCTGCTCCTATCACCATTCACCAGTGGCTGTAGGGCTTAAGCTTAGGAGAGTAGTGCACATAGGAAAATGCTTGTGCGTTACTTCTTTTAACGTGGGGAACTGTTGTACTGCAGCCACCACACCATCCTTGACAGATCAGTCTCCGGATTGTCACTTTGTCATGATGAGTGGACTTGCATGTTCCAATGAACCTGAGAGCGATGCCATAGGAAGTCTTATACTTCTGGTAGGGTCACCTATGGTGGCAAGGTCAAGGGGGAGGGACTAGACAAAGAACGATCCTAGAAGTCCTCACGACTGTGAAGGCAGATGAAGGCTGCAGTGGACAGGAGATTCCCAATCATTGTGGATTCCATGCCATTGGACCTGGGCCTTCTATCAAATATTCTACACTACAGGTAAAGCTCATCAATGAAGGGCTGCTAGTCTCAGGGCAGTATTGAAGATGTGAGTATACCATGGTTTTATAGAGAAGCAATAAGATGTTCTCTGTCTTATTCTCTATCCCTTTTTAAATGACTCCTAACATTCTATTTGCTTTTTTGACTGCCACTGCACACTGAGTGGATGTTTGCAGAGAACTATCCACAGTGACTCCAGTATCTCTCTCTTGAATAGCTGTAGCTAAATTAGTCCCCATCATATTGTATGTATAGTTGGGATTATTTTTTCCAATGTGCATTACTTTGTATTTATCAACATTAAATTTCATTTGCCATTTTGTTGTCCAGTCACTTAGTTTGGTGAAAGCGGCGAGGAGTCCTGTGGCACCTTATAGACTAACTGAAGTATTGGAGCATGAGCTTTCGTGTGCAAAGACCCACTTCGTCAGATGAATGAAGTGGGTCTTTGCCCACGAAAGCTTATGCTCCAACACTTCAGTTAGTCTATAAGGTGCCACAGGACTCCTCGCCACTTTTGCAGATTCAGACTAACATAACTACCCCTCTGAGGGTACGTCTACACTACATTAATTCGAACTAACTTCGTTCGAATTAGTTAATTCGAACTAAGCTAATTCGAACTAACGGATCCAGACTAAAAAACTAGTTCGAATTAGCGTTTTGCTAATTCGAACTAGCATGTCTACATTAAGTGGACCTTGAACCAGGCTTAAGGATGGCCGGAAGCAGTGCCGGCAGGGCATCAGAGGAGGACTTAGAGCGTGAAGATGCTGTCTCAGGC